CCAAAGAGTTAAGTCAGTTTTTTTGAATGGCATGAAATAGGAATCCTTCCCTACAGGTAACATGAAATAATATATTTTCCTTCCTTGTCAAATTGTAATGTTGCTTTTTATAAAAATGCATTTGAAACGTGTGAAGAATATCAAACTGCCCATATGATGAGAAGAACACAAATTGGAAACAATCACAAACAGTTCAGAGATGTGTGTTTGCTTCATAACGTTCCCAGGTCAGCGTCATCGATGCTCTTACTTACCTGAGTAGGCAGCTACTGGAGATCCCGTTTCAGAACAGCAGCAGTCTGGGCGTCAGATTCCCTGTTACCGTCTGTCTCTTTCACTCCCTTAACAACGTCATGGAGGCTGGTGAGGAAGGTCGGCAGAACTCCGAGCAGGACACTGAGCAGGTAGGTGCACTAGATGCAAGGGGCCAACTCTGTTTAGAAACGTTTTTATCTGGAAAGGTCCAGTCTCTCCCTAGACCTTCAAAGAGAATCCAGCTGAGCTGTGCACTGCTGAAGAAACCACTTTGCCAAGCCCTCTCTGGGGCTCCCTCTCCACCGTACCAGGGAGCCGAGACTGCCTAGTGCTGTAATCAGGTGAAAAGGACTTAGCAAAGTGTTGGCACCTAGTAAACACACAGTAAATTACATTTGCTAGTCGCACAAAAAGATGTTCAACATCATTAGTAAACTATAAATTCAAACCAAAATGGGATGCCACTGTACACCCTGAAAAGGCAGACAATAATGAGTATTGGCAAGGATGCAGAGAAATTGCAATCCTTATACATTTTTGAATTGTAAAATGATGCAGCCGCTTTGGAAAACAGTTGGGCAGTTCTTCAAAATGTTAAAAATAGAATTACCCTGTAACCTAGTGATTCCACTCCTTGATATACACCCAAGAGAACTGAAAACATACATCCATTCAAAAACTCGTATGCTCGTGTTCATGGCAGCATTGTCCAAACAGCTAAAATAGCCAAAAAGCAGAAACAACCCAAACGTACACGATCTGATCAATGGATAAATAAAATATGTTATATCCACACGATGGAATGTTATTCAGCAACAAGAAGAAATGAAGTACTGATGCACGCTCCAACATGAACGAACTTTGAAAGCATTGTGCCAAATAAAGCCAGTCACAAAAGACCGTATGTTGTGATTCATTTATATGCAGTGTCCAGAAGATGCAAATTTATGGATTAGTGGTTACGTAGGAACAGGAAGAGTAGGGATGGGGGAATGGAGAGTGCCTGCTAGAGGATGTCGGGTTTATTTTAGGAAGGTTGGATCCTAAAGTTAGATTGTGGTGATGCCTGCACAACCTTGTGAATATACTAAAACACACTGAATTATATACTCTCAGTGGGTGAGTTGTATATGTGAAATTTATCTTCAAGCTGTCTTTTAAAGAAGAAAAACATATGAGCAGCTCTAGGACAGTTATATAATGGGGCAAAGAAATATTTCCCTGGCTGGCTCTCCTAGTTGATACAAAGGATGATAAGTCTTTAGCCAGACGGCAAGTACTTTCTGTGGGGTTCCAAGGTCTTCTCCATCAAATGTCACCTTTCGTTACATCACGGACAAAATTCCCCTCCCAACCTTCTAAAGCCATGATTTCACTAACACAATACAAGGAGGTTATACAAGTCACATGGCGTTTCCCTCTAAATGCAGGTAGAAGACATGCTAGAAATGTCCTTGGTGGCGCTTGGGAACATCCAGGAAGCATTTCTACAGCAGAACCAGTTTCCTGCGTCTTCAGTGACCTTGACCTCTTCCATTGCCACTCTGATGCTGAGCAGGTTAACATAGGAGGAAAGAAGGGGGCAGAGTTTCATTGTAAGTTTTTGACCTTTAGAGAACATACAAAAATTGACTTCCATTTTAACTTCTTTTTCAGTAGCCAAAACATATCAACTTTGCCTCTCAGCTCTTATACTCTGGGTCACCCGGCACCTGTGAGGTTATGCTTTCCATCGGCTTCGGCTTTGGAGGAGCTCTTGAACAAACATCCAGGAGTACATGTCCAAGTGAGTGTGAAATTGATTCTGATCAGAATGAAAATGGGGTTGGATGGCCAGGGAGGCATTTGAGTACGTACCATGAAATGTAAGCCGACCAGACCACATGAGAGAGGTTTTGTGGCACCAATTCTTATTTTACACTGGCAGAGAGGTTGGGAGCATTTAACAGATTTCTGGATTTAACTAAGTTTCTTTGTTGTGGATTGAAATGATCTTAGCTCTTCACTGTTTACACAAAGCTGGGAATATCTGAATAATTACTGACTTGGCATACCAACCTGGTCGTGTCAGTGCATTGTATTTCTTTCAGCGTTCACCTGACAAACACAAATAGCATTGCTGCCTTACTCCCTAGTAAAATAGAATCCTCCACGTACAAAGATGTAAAAAGAAAAAAATTCTGAGGGTCCCAAATATAATATGATTTGTCTTTAATTATTTCTCGTAGATGTTACAACACGAAATCTCATTTCATCTGAGATATTAGCAGGGGAAAAAATCCCAACATTTACTTTATGGTATATGATACCTCGTGACCTATCACGGTTCACTTAGAAATATTTCAGCAATTGATAAAATTGGACTTTTCTTTGTCTCTAGATGGCGGGACTAGCTTTAAATCCCTTCAAGGATTTTGGGGACGGAAACATTGTTGGAAGCGTTGGAAGTGTGAAACTAAGCTCTAATCGTACACTGCTCCAAGTCCGTGATTTAATGGAAGACATTGAGGTAGGAATTGATTCTTAGGGAATAAAATAGAAGGGCATAGGCTATTCTGGAGAGCAGGATGGGAGGATGCAATGACTTGAAGGAAATCATTTTAGACTGACGGCAGTGCCATTGTTTAGTTGTGAACATCTTTATTTGGGAAGTTTTACAAAGAGATTCCTTACCGTTAGAAAAAGGTGTTTTAGGTCTTAGATTATATACTCTCCTTTAACCCCTGGGAGTATGTTAGCTACTAATATTCAAAGAGGAAGACTAGAAAGTTTCACAACCTTATCAATATAAGGGAGATTGAAAGTCATTAATGGATGGACCATCTTAAACTTGAAGAGAGACTGTCTCTTATTCTAGATCATTCTCTGGAGAAATGTTAGCATGGAAACCCATCCCATCAGCCTCAACACGAGCACGGACCGTTTTGTGATCACAGTGAACATCACTTCTTTGGAGAAAACCCTGATAGTGAGCATAGAGCCTGAAAGTCCCCTGTTAATGACACTCTACCTGGGCTTCCAGTGTCAGCCTAACCACACTCACTTCCACCTGAACATCACCCTTCCGAAGGATCAGGTGTGGCAGAAAGGTAAAACCCCAGTCAGATGTCGGAAACTTACCTTGAAATGCGCTTCTTTCTTCTTTTAACTTTTTACTTTGAGATAATTGTAGGTTTACATGTAATTGTAAGAAAGTAAGTAAGAAATAAAACAGCTCATATACCTTTTCCAATTTCCCCTAATGGTAATATCCTTCATAATTATAGTACAATATCACAACCAGGAAATGGCAATGATATAATGCACTAATTTTATTCAGATTTCACCAGGTTTACAAGCTCTTACTTCTGTGTGTATTTGGTTCTGTGTAATTTTAACACACGTAGATACATGTAACCATGAAATGCATTTTAAAAAAGATGGGGGCCAGGCACAGTGGCAGATGCCTCTAATCCCAGCACTCTGGGAGGCTGAGGTGGGAGGATCGCTTAAGGCCAGGAGTTCGGGACCAGCCTGGGCAACATAGTGAGACCCCATCTCTACAAAAAAATTTAAAAACAACCAGGCATGGTGGGGCACACCTGTAGTCCTAGCCAGTCAGAAGGCAAAGGTGGGAGGATAGCTTCAGAGCATAGGAGTTCTCGGCTGCAGTGAGCTGCGACTGTGCCTCTGTCCTC